ATATCAGGGTCCTCCAAATACTCATCGTAGTGGGTGAGGGAAGGACTTTGTAAAAGAATTCTAGCTAATGAACGTAGATGGAATGACAGGGGAGAGGAGATGAAGCCATCAGGGAGAACTTTACAATGGGAAGATCCCGTTGTCGCTGCCTGAAGCTACTGCTCAACAGTAGCACTGCTAAAGTGGGTGGACCAGACCATATGCACCTCCTGAGGTGATACTACACGAAGCCTGCAGCACCAAGGAAGCAGAATTCTTGCCAAAAAAGTTTAATTTGAATCCAATCAAAGCCTTCAGACATAACTTCCAAGTTGTGGTAAATTTGGGTGACAGAGAAAATGTTAACTAATGACAAGCATCCAAACCCAGCACGTAGAATGTTCTATTGCCTAAGTAGCTCAGTTCTTTCAACAAGTGAATTTGAAAAAATAAGGGGAATGTTCCAGATAAGGGACTTAAGAAATTCAATAACTAAATGAACTGTATGCATTTCTTTGGCTGCAATACAAATAAGCCAACTATAAAAAGGTAACTTAGAAGCAATTAGGGAAATTCAAACGTAGAATGAGTAGATGAAACCAAGGAATGAGTTTTCCTATTGTTGAGCGTGAAACATGACATTATGTTTATAGAAAAGCATGCACATTAAGAGTACAAACTGAAGAATGCACAGCTACACACGATAGGATGTCTACTTCTAGTAACTTCAGGATAAAATGGAAGGGGTGGACAAATCTTGGTGTGTACCTATGGGAATGCACCAAATTATTTTCTTTTGCACAAGTTCAAAATTTTTCTAAATAAAATGTATTTTTAAAAATAGGAAAAAAACAACAAAAGAGAAATAGCTTCAGAAACCAATCCAAACTTCCCTTTACCCTACTATTTACACCTGAAACCTTCAACATTGACAATCTGCACCCGTTTTTTGTTTTACTAGTTACTTCTACATGTCTACTTTTACTGGATATGTATTTAATGTAGAATTCTTTTGCCAAAGTTGACCTAAATCTTTCAGACATTTGGTGACTAATTTTTCTAAAACATCCTCTATGAGGTTGGGAAAGACAACACTGAATGGAAGAGCTGGCTTGGAGCACAGACCTCCTCTCTGCACAGTTTCTGTCTTCATCCCTTGTTCCCATCCTTTTCTCTTCTAAAAAGCTGTTTATTGTCCATCTACTTGAAAGGTAGAGGAAGACAGTGAGAGAGCTAGGGCGAGAGAGAGAGGGAGAGAGAAAATCTTCCACCCATGACTGACTTCCCAAATGCCCACAAAAACCAGAGGTGGGTCAAAGTCAAGAGTCTGGAGCTCTGTCCTGCTCTCCCACATGGGTTACAGGGGCTGAAGCACTTGCGCCATCTTCTGCTGCATCCTAGAATGCATCAACAGGAAGCTGGATTGCAAGTCTGATATGGGATGTGGGCATTCCAAGTGGTGGCTTAACCCACTGCAGCACAACACTGCCCTTCCCCTTTGCCACCTGTTTTTTTTTAACTGAGAGAAAAGGATTTTATTTTTTGAGATTCTCTCACACACACACGCACACGCACACGCACAGGGAGCAAGCGAGAGAGAGAGCAAGCGAGAGAGAGGCAGAAAGAAAGGAGAGACAGAAAGAAACAGACGTCTCCCATTTGCTGGTTCACTCCCCCAATGCCCCAAACAGCCAGGGTGGACCAGGTTGAAACTAGGAGATGGAATCTGTGTCTCAAAGTGGTTGGCAACTACTGGAGTCATCACTGCTGCCGCCCAGGGTCTGCACTGGTAGAAGCTGGAACGAAACTGGGACTGACTCAAACCCAGGCACTCTGATACCGGCTGTGGACATCTTAATTGCTAGGCCAAGTTCTAAACCAAGAGAGAAGCAAATTTTGAGGTCTTTTCACTCTTGTACCCTGCAGAGAAGAGCTGATTTCTGGCCTGCCACCTCTCCCAGGAACTTGCTTTTCAGAATTTGGTGCCACCTGGACAGAAGAGGCTCTTTTCAACCTAAGGGAATACAAGGATAGGAAGAAAGAGGGCCAGGAAAATGGTGTCAGTAGCAACAATTCTCACTTGATATTGTCTGCATTTCCACTACTTGAGGGGGAATGGCCATCAAAACAGATAAAAAGGAGCAAACGTCAGCCTTCTTACCATGTTAGGGTGCAATATTATTTCTCCTCCAGTTTTTGCCTAACCATGTTATATTTGGTGTTTTGTTTACTCTTTTTAAAAACTGCCTTTCAATCAGCTCTATGTCAGTAACATCTCTAAGCCTTCCCTGCATATTTTCCACTTTTTCAGTCTTGGTTGTCATTTCCTCAGAGAATTCAGTGAAATGGAATGTAGAGTTGATACCAGAGCTCCAAGAAGAAGACACAAGGAGGCTTTCAGAAAGCATTTTTGAGCACACGTGTATATAAATTTTAATTTGTATGTCAGAAGAATAAAAATAAACAAATTTAATGAGAATATGAGATATCAATTACCTGAATTTCCCTTTTCAAAAAAGAGTTTAATTTCTTTCTCATACAGTCAATACAACTCAGCAAATATGAGGAAAGAAATTTGCAGGTAACTTATTTCCATGAACTTAAACTTGATAGTCAAAGAGATTCATGCACATTTCATTTTGGCAAGTGGTCAAGAGATCCTAGGAAACACTGACCCAAGATATTCCATGAGATAGGAGACAGTAATGCAGGCAGAAGGACACTGACCTACCCAACATAAAAATCCAATGCAGCCTTCTGTCCTGTTTGCTTCAACATTTAAAAATGGACACCTTAAAACCTGAAATCTATTTAAGTAAAAGGCACTACCATCTGGCATCTAAATGGGTTATAAGGAAACTTTTAAAATTTGTATGTTAAAACTTTAAGGAGACTTTTTTATATTAAAAATAAAGAACAATTATTTTGGGAGCAAGTCAGTTTCCCTGCATTTGAGGTTAGCTAATGCAAATAGAGAAGTCCTATATTCCCAGAAGGATGCCATGATTTGAAATGCTTCCATGGTTAATGTACTTAATTACCATATAAAAATTCAACTAAAAGAGCAGTCATTGGGTGCATGCCACTTTGGATGCCTGTATTCCATACAGAATTCCTAGTTCAAGTCCTGGCTCCAGCTTCCTACTAATGTGCATCCTGAGAGGCAGCAGTTGATGGCCCAAGTACTTGGGTTTCTGCCACCTACATGGGCATCCATGACACTGTGGGTATTTGGGGGTAAACCAACAGATAGAAAATCTGTGTCTACTTTGGCTTTCAAATAAAATGAAAATAAATAAATCAACTGTAAAAAGTTTGATTCAATATCCAGTTAACAGGAACATTACTGAGTGGATCTCATTTCACAACAACACACAGAGATCAGCAATGGGGAAGAGAGGTTCTGTGAGTACAAACCACTGGGCCTGCAGGCACCCCTGGTTCTGACGGTGGGATTCCTCAATGCCAAAAGTTCACACATATGTTGAGGTGAGGGCATCATATATTGCTCATTGGATCAGCCTGGTGTACAGAATGAGTGACAGACTAGAAAAGAGATTCTAAATCCTCCAGGTGTTACTCATAAAAAAGCCCACTCAATGCATCACTTTTACCTCCCTGGGACCAAAAGTGTCAAATGAGGCAAGGGAATGCGTAGGCCATGAAATTCCAGACTCCGTGATGACAGCCTCAGTGTGCAGAGAAACACATTCAGACTACATCACTGTGTAACCCGGATCTCCTAAGACCAATGGACACAGGCAAGCTTGGCAAGTGTTAATGTAATGCAGAAAGTCATTATTATCAAAGCTCATATATTTCACATAGAACAGGAAATGCTAAAACAATAGTGGAGAATAATCACAGTGTTATGCTGAAGTACATGCAAGTCACTGCATTGATGCTTAAAGTAGATCTCTTAAACTCAACAGCCTACAGATGCCAGGCAGATCCCATAACCAAGTAATATAGAAGTAAAGATCAGAAAACTGTAGTCCTTGGGAGAGTAATAAAACCAGACCTTTAATCTGTCAAGGGAAGATAGGTATCTGATTTTTTTTTAATATGAAGTTTCAAATGTCAGCAATTAATTTTTAATTTATTAAAATTTATTTTAAAGGTGTGTGTGTGTGTGAGAGTGAGTGAGTGAGACAGAGGAGGGGGTGGAATGGAGAGAGGGAGAAAAGGGTAAGTGAGAGAGAGTAACTATCTGCTGGTTCAATCAACAAACACCTGCAACTTTAGGGACAGATGCAATCCAGGTCTCCCACATGGGCGGGCAGGGACCCAAACATTTCAGCCATCACTGCTGCCTCCCCAATCCTCCAGGAAGCTGGAATCAGGAGCCAGAGCCAGAGCCAGAGCCAGGTATTGAACCTAGATACTCTGCTATAGGTTGCAGGTATCCTAATTGCTAGGCTAAATATCCAACTTGGTTGCTCCTCTTCCAGTCCAGCTCTCTGCTGTGGCCCGGGAGGGCAGTGGAGGATGGCCCAAGTGCTTGGGCGCCTGCACCCGTGTGGGAGACCAGGAGGAAGCACCTGGCTCCTGGCTTCAGATCGGCATGGTTCCAGCCGTGGCAGCCATTTGGGGAGTGAACCAATGGAAGGAAGACCTTTCTCTCTGTCTCTCTCTCTCACTGTCTAACTGTATCTGTCAAAAAAAAAAAAAAATTACACGCTTAACTGGACTACCAGTTTGCAAGCTCTGCTCTAAAATCTAGTTCTAAATAATGCATTAATAAATAAAGATCTGCTCATATCAGATACCAGAGATCATGCTAAGTTATTGAGTCCTGACTTCTACTATATCAAGAGGGACTGACCCATTCTAGAAAAGGGTGGGAGTGACATCAGCTTTCACGAAGAGCTCCTCAGATTGCATGTCTGACTGGTCATTTCCATGATGTCACCACACTCACCACGCTCAGGCAAAATGAAAGGTTGATTAGAGGGCAGGGAGCGTGCAAAATCTCCACGAGAGCACTAACGTCACAGACTCCTTCCCTCGGGATCACTCACCTTGAGAAAAGCAGACAGCTTTGGACAGCTAGGAGGAGGGAGTGTAAATTGCAAAGACCAATCTCACTGGGCTTATGGTACAGAATGGAATTTATAATGTGGCTCTGAAAACAATAAATATAAATATCAATATAAATATCAAGACTGACTAGTACTGTACTAGCCATTTCAGTCTCACAGGCAAAGAGAAAACAACTGTTTACTATGAAAGATTATAAAAAGTGGATATATTCTACAACCCTGCATGAGTGTGTGCATATGTGTATATATACAAAGAAAGCAAGGATAGCATTTTGACCATTTGAAGGTTTAGGTCTGCAAGTTCTTTACTCAAGAGAAGGGTAGTGTCTTAATTCCACATGAAGCCAACTTTCAGATAAAAGATTAACAAAGAGTTTTGCATATTTTTCTACTTTTTATCCTTAAATCAACATTTCACTAGGATGGCTAAACATAAGGAGGATTATGATGCATTATTTTAAGATATGATATGCAAATAAAATATATAAAGAAACATCTTCCCGTAGTGTGGTTATGTCTTAGAATCTTTTGCTATTATTAGGCACTGCCTAATCTAACCCTGCTTTTGGCTTTAGGCTTGTACCTGGGAGCCGGAGTCTTCTGGGTCAGTTTTATGGTCAAAGCTGTCTCACAGCTGTTGATCCTCAGCTGCCTCAGATGCAGCTTTTCTCCCTGGACCCGGCTGTCTCAACCCTTCTGGGGCTCTCTGGGTGGCTCCTTAATGTCCTTTTGTTGTTTTTCCAGCAAGGGGCAGGACCTGGTAAAGAGAGATTACTGTCACACAACACGTTTCCACAGAACTTCCGAGAGTCTCACTGCACAGCTGCCTGGGGCCACTGAGAAAAGTCCTCCTGGTTTACATTTTGAAAAGAAAGCTCATCCAGGAAGTTGTCTCATCCTTTTCCCTCCTTTGCTCAGCTTTATGTAATTCCAAAGACATAACCATTGACCTCCTGAGCAATCAGTAACATTACAATTCACCTTTTACCCAGAGTCTGGAGTAAGAGAACCATCAACTGACACAACAAATATTTCCTAAGAGGAGAAAAGTATATTTTTCTAGAGCCCTCTGATGAAATGTAAACCTCACTAGGGTTTTCAAAAACACTAAGCGTGAAGTGCTGTCATCACACTTGCACACAAATGCACAATTTCTGGAGTTCTGACAAGGACCAATTAATAGTATGTAATTTGCCTTACAAGAGTGGAACTGTTGCCAAACTCCTAGAATAATCCCCTAGCACATAGAACTGAGTATGCTAAGAAAGAATACCGTTTTCACCTTGACATAATTCCTGAGAAAGCAAAGAAATAGTACACCATGATTAAATAAATACGTTCACCTTAAGGAAAAAGAAAAACCTGACAAGTAATCCAAAGCTGAAGCTATATTACTCTCTGATCCTGAAACATTAACAGCAGTTTTTCCTGTTAAGCCATAAACCTCTAGAGCAGGTTCGTGTATTCAAAAGATAGCTTTAAAAATAACTTCTCAGGATTGATTTTTTTAAAAGCCTATTCATTCACTGTATTTTAGTTTTTCTCTTCTTGCTTACAGAGGCAACGAAAATGCATGCTGAGGCATGCCAGCGTATGCACACACACATCCTGAAAGACTGTGACTTACTGAAACTGCCAGGGATATATGTCTACCCACCATTCGATGCCCTGACTGTTCTTTAAGAACCACCTTCCTACAAAAAAGTGCTATCAATAACTTCTAGCTACTAAAAATACTCTTCTAATTTTTGGTGTGTTGTAATAAGACAATTCAATGTATCTTATAGGTCCTAAATAAAATTTAACTGATGGTAATGATGCTGACACAGAAGAACTAAGGTTAGGGCTTAGCAAGTCTATTTCTGTATACTTGGCATCAGTTTTTTATTTTCTGCAGACACTACTTATCTATGCTCTCTAAATCACAGGACACAGAGCTTAACTGGTCATCTACAAAGACTCCCCTTACAACCTCTTCATTGCTCTTTCCTATAAGGGCTTCTGCCAAGCTTTGGAAAAGGAGAGGGCCCTGAAAAAGGAGGAAGAAAGAAGAAAAAGAATGGTGACAGCCCTTGGTGCTGTCCTGCAGCTCTTTTTGCATGCTCCCACTCCCATTGTTCTGCCCTAGTCTTATTCTCCACAACTCCTACGCATCCTAATGTGTTAAGTGTGAAGGTCAAGGAGAATAGGGGACAGCGGGGTAAGATGAAGGTTTCTTCTTCCTTCTGTGTCACCCACTAAGAAGCAGCAGAGGGAAGGGAGAAGGCAGGGCGAAGCTCGCGACCCATATCTGAAGAACTTCCCTTCTGTGGGTGTCCTCACAGTCTACATTAATCAGTCCACAGCCCAAGGAACATTTTCCCACCTCTCACTTCCCTCCTCCTAATAGTCTTTGCCAATATATCCTTCCAAATTAAGCTCAAAACCACAACTCCCAACTTCTTCATTGACCTTCCCAATTGATACTTTTGGTCAACTGTAGCCATGTAAGGCTGTTCTAGTCTGCAGCTTATGTGCTTATGCTTCTTACCTCAGCTGCCAGGCGGCCTATGCTCTGGGAAGCAAGGGCCAGACCCAGCTCCCCACACACACTGGGTGTGAGGGTTAAAAATTCAAATTTACAAAGATTTTATCTATATAGACTCTTGCAAAGAACTAATCTATTACTGTCCACTTTGCTATTAAGAGCACAGCAGTGTACATTTCTACACTGTGTGCACAATTCAAGAAATAGGAATTCTGGTTTGCTTTGGAAATAATGTTCATGTGGACATTCTGTACAACTTTCACAAAGACAACTGCCAAGATAAAGTGTAATGCCTTCTTTAATCTTCAGGGGGACGGAGTACCTTGGTTTCAAAATTACCAACACAATTACCTGGTTCAGACAAAATCCATCATCTCTGATAGTTACTCAGGCCAGGAATATTAGGAATAGATGTCTAACTGAGCTTAAAAATTTTCATCAGGGCAGATAGGTTTATACGTCATACTCACATTCCAAATTTCCAGGTGACTGGTATATTAAGTTCTGTTTAAGAACCACGGAGCTCAAGAAGTGGCAACTCAACTTTTTAAATTAAGAAACTGCACAGGGTCTTGTTTTACCTTGCACACAAATGCCACATAGGGCAGAGGTCCAAAGGTGAGAAGCTTATAAAGTTCAAGCTGATTACTCCTTGTGACAACACACACACTGAAGATTAATTCCTAGAGTGTTAATACACTCTGAAGAAGTGGTGAACTTCTTTTACAGAGCAAGGCCAAAACCGATGCTTTCTTAGAGCATATCTGGTTTTAATCAATGCACACTGACAAAAAGAATCATGTTCTAATTTAGTGATACCCTCTGCTGAGCAAACACCTCCCAATATCCTCCTCCTTAACATGATAGTAATTAAAAGTTGGAAGTTGGAAGCGTTTGAAAGATTGATTTGAACAAATCTCCCACAATAAGCAATGCTCAAGTAGGAATCACTGGGAAAATCTCATTCAGAAAACTTAGTGATTTGGCATTGTTCTTCTGAATGGCTCATTCAGGAAGCAAATCATCCATTATCTTTGCAGCAGAATTTTTCCTCTAAGTCGTGTGATTAATCCTCCCATGGCCTGAGTTCTGCCCACCACATATTGTATTCTTGTCTAGCGCACTCCCCACATGTTTTTCTCATTTCCTATCCAAGCCCACCAGGGACTAGACTGCCCCATGTAGTGAATAAGCTCATGGACATGATGAAAAATGGAGACAGGATAAATCAAGCTGCATTCCTTGGCAAAACATCAAAGAAAAGCAAAGACAGTAAAGACAACCAGAATGACTAAAAGAATATGCACATAAATTAAGTAATCTACACAGACAAATGAATTTCATGATGAAAACAAGAGGCGAGACCCTTTTGACTGTTTTCTATACATACATGGCTCAGTGGTTTCATTTCCCATCATTTCCACAAAAGAGGATTGGTCTTTACTTAGGGCTAAGCATCCTACATTGTTTTTTCCATATAACTGTAGCTCAAAACATAGTACATGACCTTTCTTCATTGTCTTGCTTACTTTGTCTACTGCTGCAGCTAACTACATTAGTTGTTGAAAAGGTCATTGTTTTGCTTTTTTCACTAGCAGAAATGTTTAGACAAGAAACTGATATTTCTCTGTGATAATCCCAAGAACACTGAGGACTTCTACACTGTATCTAAATCCCTAGAGGATGTATTTTAGTGCCACAACCTGATAACTTTTACAGAAATAGGCTGTGCTGGGTTAACTTCCCTGAAGCTGAAAAACACAGCCCCCAGTCACTATCACCTAACAACTACTGTGGCCATCTTAAATGACTGAAGTGTATAGGACTTTTTTTATGTGATATTAATTAATTTTTTGACAGGCAGAGAAACAAAGAGAGAGACAGATATACAAGGATCTCTCCCAGCTTTTATTTCACTCTCCAAATGCAAGCAACAATCGCCGTTAGTATTTTCTTACTAGGTCAAGTGCTCATTTATACAAGATTCATATCCTATGAAATTATCTAATCTCATTAGTATTACTATATGTGTTAGAAATTAAAATTCACCAGCTGAAATAACATATCAGAATATTCATGTCTGTCATTAAATAATGGTTGATTTATCCACTCAACAGTAAGTCAGCTGTGATGTTTATTTTATTTTTTATTTTTTTATTTTATTTTTTTTATTATTATTTTTTTTTGACAGGCAGAGTGGACAGTGAGAGAGAGAGACAGAGAGAAAGGTCTTCCTTTGCCGTTGGTTCACCCTCCAATGGCCGCCGCGGCCAGCGCGATGCGGCCGGCGCACGGCGCTGATCCGATGGCAGGAGCCAGGAGCCAGGTGCTTTTCCTGGTCTCCCATGGGGTGCAGGGTGATGTTTATATATAAACATCAAAACCAGATACATAAGAAGATCTATAAATGTAACAACTGACAAAACAAGCTCCTTCCCTTAAGGAACTTAGAGTTTTGCCATAGAAAATGGGAATAGGTATGTGCATAATCTTTTTAAATTACAAAAGCAGAAAATGTACTCTGGCTATTTATGGCATAGAAATTCTAGCTTGGAGTTTGTGGGCTGGAAGGGAAGTAGATCAAAGGAAGTTGTTCAAAAGAGGAGGTATTTGAAACATGAGTAGAGTCAGACAGGAAATGGACAAGCAGACATGAATAAAGGGGCTGTTCAAACAGTAAGAAAAGCACATGAAAATCAAGAGATGGGAAAGTGTAGTCTGAAGTTCTGGTGTTCTGAACTTAGCATACAGAAAGTGGAAAGTGTGGGAGAGGAAGCTGGAGAGGAGTTTGGGATGGTGTGACAGCGCTTACCTTCTGGGCAGGACCAGGAGTGCAGTTCAGAACATGGAGTCATAAGACCAGGCTTCGGGGAGGCAGGTTCAGCAGCAGAGCAAACTGAAGAAAGAGGCCAAAGAGACCCGCAGAAGAACACATTAGCAGCTCAGAAGGGACCTCTCAGCTGAAGGCAGAGTGGGCAAAAGGGACGAACTTCTACTCAACAGGACAAAACGTGAGCCCATACAGTCTCATGTATTTCTTGTCTTACCCAAATAATCAGCAGAAAGTAAAACACATTCACGTTTTCATAACCATGATCCAGGTAAAAATAAGACACACTCCTCCCTCGGATCTGCTGGGAATTGGTCTCAGAATATCATACTATTGTGGGGGGGATGCTCAAGTCATTATATAAAACATCATAGTATTATATATACATAACCTATGCGTATCCTCCTGCATTCTTAAAATCATCTCTGGATATTAATGTAAATGACAAAAATGTCATACATATTCAGTATGAATACAATTCTTTTACACAAATATTTTCAGTCCATGGTTGCATGAATCTGCAGATGTGGAATCTGAAGCTAATATAGACAATATGCTGAAAAACTCAAATAATTGGCCTAACACAAAATGCAATTTTCTCCAGCTGTTAAGTTCCTATGATCTATCCTGGTTCCCAGATATTTCGTTTGTATCCAACTTAGTTCAACTTGATTTGTAGGTTAGGGAAAGTACTTTATTTCTCCAAAGGCTAAAGGTTGAGTATAGGAAAGACTTGGGACCAACCTATTCCATATTCAAAGAAATTTACCCTCTAATTAAACAGCTTTGTTAACACTGAAAAAAAGTTCAGATGACTATCACACAGGCAAGAATTCAGAGAAACTTAAAGAAACCTACAATTGTACCATTCCCTTCACAACTTCTGTTTTATATCCAAAGAACAAATAGTATCGAAACCACTCAATGGTTCTGTTGCTGTTGAATATTTTTTTTTTAAAAAGAAACTCATATCTCCAAAGCATTGAAACATGATGAGGATATGTCATAACCTGAAATTAGTACACTCCAGAGTCAACACTCATCAATCTTTTTCTATGAAAGTACATGAGGCAGTGTGGCCCTCCACTCTACACATTTGATGTCCTCACTCAACTTTGCTATTGTAGAAGGAAAGTCACTATAGACACTGTGTAAATGAACAAGCCTGGCCGTGTTCCAATGAAACTCTACTGACAAAAAGTAGTAGGCTACCTATGGCCCTTGGACTCTGGTTCCTGATACCTGCCTAGCAACCAGCCAGCTGTGACAACGAGGTGTGATTTTCATGGTTCTTTGCTCCTTCAGGTGCATAACTCTGATAAAGTGCTAAAATTTTTTTTTCTCCAAAGAAAATTTCCAGTACTAATAGAGTGATAGAAAACAGGGGCAGGCATTTAGGATAGTGCTAAGGACACCTCTTGGGACACCTCTGCATCCTATGTAAGAATGCCTGCTTTGAGTCCTGGCCCTGCTCTGGATTCCAGTTTCCTGCTAACGCTCTGGGAGGAGCAGGCGATAGTTTAAGCAGTTGGATCCCTGTCTCCCATGTAGGAGATCCGGGCTGAGTTCCTGCTCCTGGCTTCTACCTGGCCCAGCCCTGGCTATTACAGGCATTTTGAGGAGTAAACCACTGAATGGAAGATCTCTCTCTCTGCCTGTCTCTACTTCTCCTCTCCCCCTAAAAAAAAAAAAGTTAACAAAATGGAGAGGTTCTAAACAAGTGATGGATCCAAGGAGATAAAGAAGTTTTGCATAAGTTAAAAAGATAATGTAAAATCTGGTGTGCTCTCAGATCCACTGCCGGAAGAGTTCAACATATACTCTGTGTGGAAATGGGAAACAACGCATGAAACCATTTCAGGGAGCACTATAACAAATGCCCAAATTGTTCATTCATTAAGAGAAAACTTCAGGGGAAGTTTAAACTATTACATAAAAATGGTCAAGAAATGAATGAATATTGACAATATTTATATTAGAGGAAGCCAGAGAATTTGCAAATGTATGAAAATATCAGACATATTTCATTCACGAATTCCGCTGGTTATTGACTTGTTACAGTCTGAGAAAAAGTAAAGAATACTATTATTAAAGCTTACTAATCTAGCCGGCGCCGTGGCTCACTAGGCTAATCCTCCGCCTAGCGGCGCCGGCACACCGGGTTCTAGTCCCGGTCGGGGTGCCGGATTCTGTCCCGGTTGCCCCTCTTCCAGGCCAGCTCTCTGCTGTGGCCAGGGAGTGCAGTGGAGGATGGCCCAGGTGCTTGGGCCCTGCACCCCATGGGAGACCAGGAAAAGCACCTGGCTCCTGGCTCCTGCCATCGGATCAGCGCGGTGCGCTGGCCGCAGTGCGCCGGCCGCGGCGGCCATTGGAGGGTGAACCAACGGCAAAGGAAGACCTTTCTCTCTGTCTCTCTCTCTCACTGTCCACTCTGCCTCTCACTGGAAAAAAAAAAAAAAAGCTTACTAATCTATACTTAAATCTACAGAGTTGACAAAAATGACTTAAACTCACACCTGCTTACTGATGCTGTCACTAACTTACCATGGAAAGTGATTCTGCAGTGCTATGACCTGTGCAAGTCTCTTCACTTCTCTGTGCCTCAGGTTCCACCACTCTACATGTGGCTCTCTGGGGGAGCTGAGGACTGAGCAAATTAACTGAGTGGTGGGCAGAACAAGTCAGGCATGCATAAGGCAGTGATATGCTGTCACGCTGCTGCGGCTCCTCTCCCCCGGACTCTTTTCCCCAAGTTGGATTTGTTGGTTCTTCCTCTTTCACCCTGTCCATCTCCCAGTCTCCTCCAGGTGGCCCTGTCTCACTCCAAGGACTCCAACACTCACCACTCTACAACCGCTCTTCCCAATGCTGACCCCTTCTCCACACTGCATTTCTGGACATGTGCACTGAAATATCTCAGGGACACCTAGAACTCATGTGTTGACAATTCAAGTCCATCATCTTTCTATCCTGACCCCTTCCTCTCTTTGCATTCTTGAGTTTATGACATCATAGCAAGCAACGGTGATTCAAGAACTCCACAGAAAAATGGAATTACAAGATATTGAGAATTTTCCATGTACTTTCTGGTATCTAAAACCACACCAGAAACTACAGTTACTTTTTCATTTCTTAATTTGTAGATTCCTTGATTTGCGGATACAATTCTAAGAACATAATTATATTCCTTTCCTCCCTCCCTTCATCTCTCCCCTCTCTCCCTCCCACCCTCTTTCCTTCTCCCTTTCTTTTTTTAGTTTTTGAGATAACATAGTTTAAATTGATATTCCTGTAAAAAGGCCCAATACTTCACCAAATAAGAAGTACAACAAGTAATAAGCAAAAAGACCTTAATTTAGTGGGAATATGACAATGGCCACAAACAGATATTGAATGGAAAAATGACCATTTCACTCATATACAATAAATTTTAAGCTAATCACAAATCATTAAAACTATAATAGTATAACATAATTAACCAATGGTTTGACAAAGGTATAAAACAAAGTTTTACAAAACTATATATGCAGCAATATGTATAGACATATTTCTTTTTTTCTTCATTTCATTTCTTTACTCCCAATCATTCTCTGTCCAAGCCATCTTTGTCATCAGTGAGATCTTTCTTAAAATGTTCACTAGACCTTGTTATTCTCTTGCTCAATTATATTCTCTATTGCTTGGGGAAAGGAGTCTTTGAACTTATAGGTGAGCTTCAGAGACTGGAATCCCTCTGAAATTGGGTACAAAAATTTGTGTGTTCTCAATTTAAAAAGAAAGAAAAAGGTCATGGAATCTATCTGCTATGGTTTGAATGCTTGCTCTCTCCAAAACTCAGGTGGCCACCGTGATGATACTGAAACATGGGACCTAAATTGGTGCTTAATGTATAAAGGCGGAGCCCTTGTGGATTAGCCAGTCTGTGGCACTCTGTTACAGCAGCCCAGATCAGAATAAGACATGGCCCTAGAGGACGATTTAACAACTGTTTAGCAGGGTACAATCTGCATAAGTTGCATCTTAGTCACACTCATATCTGAAACTTACTGCCTATCTCAGATACACTGAACGTTGTATTTTCCTCCAACCCTGCACACTGAATGCCATTTCACCTCTCCAAGTCTCTGCGTATGTTGTTCCCTCCATTTGCAAGGTTCTTCTCTGCCTGTTAAACACTTGCACATTCTTTAAATCCTAGCTCAAATCTCAAGTGCCGCATTTAGGAAGCCCTGTCCAGTAGTAGTACTATGTGTGTTCAACAAAAGGAATGTGGAATAGATTTCTGGAATATCTGTATAGAATAACAAGGGTCTGAAATTTCTTAAATTCAAAGCTTCAGGCTACACAGAATAAACAGCTATAAAGTTTTGGAAACACATTCTATTTAATTAAATTCAAGGATATTCTTACTTGCATTTTAATGAGATCAAGAGTAAAGATCAGGTGCCCAGCTGCCTAGGTTGGAATCCTGATTGAGCCAATTACTAGTAATGGCCATGGGCAAGTTGCAGGACTCCTCAGGTCTTCTGTTCAGTGATGTATAAAGATGCAGAGAGTAACAATACCCACCCTTTAGCATTACTCTGAGGATTAAATAAGTAAAGATGTACAGCACTTAAAGCCATGTAAGTGCATTCCATTCATGTAATTATTTATTGAAATTCAGGACTAAAGGTTGCAAGATAATCATGGAGCAAAAGAAATTGACCTTGCCCGCACAAGCCTCAAGCTTTCGTCAAATGAGTTGACTAGCCACAGACCACTGACGAAGATGGCCCTCTTCACTGATGTTTTACATCAACTGAAAAATGACTCAAGCCTATTAGATAAAATCCTTCCAGTAGTCTCCAATGGCTAAAAATATCTCCCCAAAATATTTCCAAGGCATAGCACAGGTATACTAATATGATTCCTTTGACTAGAAAAGAGCCAGAGCTGCTTTCCTGGGCAGCAAATCAAGATTACCTCCTTGCTTACCAAGTGCCCGACATGAAAGGAAAATCCTTCAGTAGGAAACTGGGAAGACAAGGGAGCACAATGACTCAGCTTCCAAACAACCTAGTGTCTTGTTTGCCAGGGAAATGGAATATTAGGTATTAACACCACCCACTTGGCTAAAAAATAGTTGTAACATGTAGATGCTACCATAATTGAACCTGAGAAGGAATCAAAAGATGTGCCTGCTATTTGCAGTAGACAGTGACTATCTGAATGCTACAGTCCCATGATGGTTTGAGCTCTGCCCCTCTCAGAAATGTTCAGCCCCAAAATCTGACTCATACTATAATTTTTTCAGTTGTGTCAACAGTATTGCTTTTGTCCCCTTGACAGCACAAAAGATCACTTCATTCTTTATGAATGGCATAATCAAACTTTAGGCTAGAACACTAGTTAATAATGAAACCAGGGAAAAAGAAACTAAATCCAGGTTTCTAAGCCCATGTTGGAGTTCTTCCTTGGTAAAATTCCAACCAAATTTCCAACTTTATCGCCCATGATAATGCTTCTAGAAATATTTTTTAAAGATTATTTATTTATTGTTTAAATATTTATTTATTTGAAAGAGCTATAGAGAGGGAAGAAGAGAAAGCGGGAGGGAGGAGAAGAGAAAAAGAGAATGAGCTCATCCATTGGTTCACTCCCCAGATGGCCTCAGTGGACAGGGCTGAGCCAGGCCAAAGGCAGGAGCCAGGAGCTTCTTCCAGGTCTCCCACGTGGGTGTAGGGGCCCAAGCACTTGGGTCATCTACTGCTGCTTTTCCCAGGCTATTTGCATGGAGCTGGATCATAAGTGGAGCAGCTGGGACTTGAACCAACACCCACATCAGCACGCCACCAGCAGCCACATCACCAGCCCCCTAGAAATCTTTATAAAAAAGGAACTTCTTAAGCCGGCGCCGCGGCTCACTAGGCTAATCCTCCGCCTGCAGCGCCGGCACACTGGGTTCTAGTCCCGGTCGGGGCGCCGGATTCTGTCCCGGTTGCCCCTCTTCCAGGCCAGCTCTCTGCTATGGCCAGGGAGGGCAGTGGAGGATGGCCCAAGTGCTTGGGCCCTGCACCCCATGGGAGACCAGGAGAAGCACCTGGCTCCTGCCTTCAGATCAGCACGGTGCGCTGGCTGTAGTGCGCAGGCCTCGGCGGCCATTGGAGGGTGAACCAACGGCAAAGGAAGACCTTTCTCTCTCTCTCTCTCACTGCCCACTCTGCCTTTCAAAAAAAAAAAAAAAAGGAACTTCTTGCAATTCTCCAATCATACCCACACTTTGGCTATACTGTGTGTATCCTCTAACTAGAAAAGTTTCCCCTTCTCCAAATCTAGTCCCATTCTTCCTTTCAGACCCTGTGTGGATGACAGGAAGCCATTCATTACGGCTCAATAGAAGTAATTCTCCAGATTGTTAACTTTCATAACCCTAGCTCAGCACCTCATGGACTTCTCTCAGTCCTTCTGAGCAGAACTATCGACACAGGTGTCTTTTCTTTTGAGACTGGATGCTCTTTGAGGGTAATTCTCATATCTGTTCCATCTTTAGAAGCCCACCTACTTACAAATGGGAACATTTGCGTATGGCAGGTGTTCATACATTTTGCTAAATCATGCAAGGAAGAGCTAAAGTGCACTAAAGATCATCATACCAATAATTAAATCAATTGGATAGACAAGCTGTGCTGAAGAAAGGCATTAGTTTAAAAAGACATAAAAAAAAATAACCCTTGTTTTCTTGTGAAACAAACTAAGAGTAGAGAATTTCAAGGCTACTTGCAGGGCAATGAAACCACCATTTATATTGACTACCCAGTGATTTGCCAGCCACTACAACGACTAATAGTGGCTCATTAAAAACTTCCCTTGGCCCTTACTGTAACTGATAATATACTTCCATGTTAAGTAACTTGTAATATAGTTTCTCCTCTCCTCCTCTTCAGACTCAAAATACTGCTTGCATCTGACCTCTGTGTATTTTGTAATTTCAATAGTCACCTCCAATATGCCTTAAACTCTAAATATCCAAGGACAAAAATGCGATATTAGAGAATGTAACACACAACAGAGTCCCAAAGTGCCAAAACTAGGGAAGGATTAACAAAGGAACCTGCAAGTCTTCACGTTCGGGTACTACCGGGCAGAAGTTCACAAGTCCTAACCTGCTGTTGGTACTACTTGACATACTTACTGGATCCCAAAGCAGAGGCTGGCTTCGCTCTCATTTAAAGCTCTAGCAGTTCACTGTCTGCAGCCCTATGTTCACAGATGACATTTCATTGACTATTCAGTTCACAAACTGTTACGGAAATGACTTTCAATATGTGCTCTTAGACATAATTTTCCTAAACCCCAAATCCTGAAAGAATAAACAACATAAGTGCTAAGCCCAGACTCTTACATGGATGTCCTGACTTAAATTGTGCTAACGGGTAGCCTCTGTTAAGTGCTCTATCTGAAAGCATTCATATCAATGACACCTGGAACATTCAGTCTCGGGTATCACGTTCTTTGTGTCTCTTGGATTACTGGAATGGCAACTGAATCCTTGAGTAGGGAGCAGGAGACCCACATGTTTTAGCTGACCCAGTCTTTAACTATCATATATATTCACTAATGTATAAACATCTCTGTCCCAAGCAAAATGAGGTCAAAATAATGTTTACAAATTATTTGTAAATTATTAATGATCCTTCCATAAATTATGTAGTGTTTTCAAAATTATAAAATAAACCTAAACAAATATGAATTTTGTATCATCTGTATTGTTTTTCCATATATGGTTTAACTGAATAACCTTGGCTGAATTCCTCTTTGAGCTAGTCTCTTCCACCTCCTAGGTTACTTTGATGGAATTATTTCAAAATGCCCCATTTCTCAGTCTTCTTGCTGTATCTCTCTTCACCTAGATTTCCATTTGGTTTCCATAGTGATTTGTTTGTTCATTAGACCACAACAAAACTGAACAATTAAATCAAGTATATTAGCATTCATGTGACTATAGCTTCCTGTATTTAGATGGTATTGGCAAAAAACTTGAAATATATTTTAAAATATTTATCTATTTATTTTAAAGTCAGAGTCAGTTCTACAGAGAGAGGAAGAGACAAAGGGAGAGATGGAGAGGGAGGGGAGAGAAGGAGGGAGGGGGCTGGGG